GGATTTTTTGTGTCGTAACGCTTCCCCTTTAAATTTCATCAACTGCCCAGATCTAACAGACATTCGTCCAGGTAGCTTTTTATTGGATGTTCTAAATGTATGCAGTGCGCAGCTGACCATTCCTTCACATCCGTTTTACGCGTGCGTAAAACCTCGCTTGTAAGATATACTTATATAAAGAACCAGATAAGTATGTTTCAAAGGGTTTTCAGTTCATTTTGTCACAGTAAAGCGATATGCTTGTCAGTCGAATGACAGTTATTCAAACCTGATGATCTTTATCTCCTTAAAGTATTTTTTCTAGCACTTTTAATAACAGAGGTAGTTTGTTATATGATATGAATGTATTATTTCGGTGAGAAAGTAGAATATTCAAGATTTGCCGGAATAATGTTAATTATGATAGACAAGTCAGCATGTGAAGTTGTGCACATAGGGTTTTGCTAGTATATTTATTCAAAATATGTGCAGATATTGCCCTTGGCTGAGTTTAAACCGTCCATAAATGTTATGTTATGTGTACCTGTAAAAGTTCTTGAGCTGGGGTCAACAACTTTTACAGAAATGTTAATCAGCATGTGAAGTTGTGGACCTGGGTTTTTGCATATGGAATAATTTCAGCTTTGTAAGTGTCATTGTCCTTGACTTAGTAAACATTTGCAATTTTGAAATTGTGTCGTGCGTAGCTCAAACAGTATTTAAACTGGAGTCACGAAACTTTACATAAATGTTGGGCAATATGTTTGGTTGTACATCTGGGATTTTGCTTGTTTTTATTTCCTTCTAAGCATACTTTAGGATATAAAAGTGATTTGAAATTATTGCAACTCAATATTAGGAATAAAATCAAGATGCCAATTTTTAAAAATTGGATGTCGTTTTTATTCCCCAACCAATTAGGGGCAGAAGATTCATGTAGACTTTTTGTCTGTCCGTCTGTCAAACTGTTTTGCTGTACGACAGTAAACTGACATAGCAGTGCAATGAGGGGCCATCCGTGTCCTATGTACACACTTCTAGTTTTCTTTATTTACATATTGGTGAATAAATAAACGATAAAAAGCTATAGTTATGAAAAAGTTGCTTATGTTAATATCCGTTTTGTCGGTTGTTCTCATTACACTTTCAAGTTAAAATGATAAAAAGACTTTAATTTTATCATTGACATCGGAGAAAAAGATCATCATGTAAAATAGAAGTGAAGAAGTCCGCAAATTTGGAACGCAAGACTAACCATGGCCTATGCAATACTTTTGTTCCTGCATTTATTTAATAAATAGCCTATGAATGACCATTGAAAAAAGGTACAGTAATGTATAGATGACTGAACATTTTTGGCAGATTTTAAAAATGGAACAAAACCTGACTATAGCTAAGTCTCTTTCACAAAATTCAGAATGTTTTAAATCTAAACAACAATATAGCAAATTAACAACACCGTTACTTTATTCATATCAGACAGGGGATTCACTATCCTTTTAAAAGATGTAACCACCAGTGAAAGATTTAAAAACAACATGTATGTAAAGAACATTATGATATTATTATATTTTAGAAGGTGAATGCTACAGTAATTATAGAATTAGTTAATGAATAACAAGTATTCAAATGGTTCAGGCCGACGACTTCGAACACCTGGCCCTTCACCTTTGTGGGTTCGATTCCCGCAAGGCACTATGGATTATTTCATGTGAAGACACTATCCGGCTTGTTTAATGAATGTCAGTGTCTCTACTTGTGTACCCGCAAATGCCTTAAATAATATATTTTGGAACACCCTTGACAATTGATCTCGGAAATTGAGTGTTATAGTCATTTGTCTCTCACCTCTTGCAGGATAAGTAGTAGGAGAATTTGTAAATTACTCGTTAGTTATCCAGGAATACCTGGAATTACATTAGGTGGAACGACCATCGAGATATGGCTCAAAATACGTTAAGATTACAGACAGACAGACAGACATTTGGTTTCATGCGTTTGTGTTTTATATAAAAGATAACTTTGAATTGATACTTCAAATACATTCTAAATCATTTTATATATTTGTTGTATGTGAAGATGAGCTCTATATGCTTAATTCAAAATAAAATATATATTCTCTGCTGTTCATTATGCGCAAGCAATAATAGATACAATAATGATTATAATCGAAAATTAAAATTGTACGTCTATGCACTAGCCAGGTACATTGAATGTAAACCAGGAAGTATAATAAGATAGAATACTACGAAAAAAAACATACATTGATTCATGTATTATAGTGCTTTGTATTTACTTAAATATCTATAACCGGTTTAAGGACAGGTTTTTGTGCCAGTGTGTATGTGCAGTGCATATTTTTATGATATATTTATATCTTACATAAATAAGAAATGTTCTACTTAATCGTCTTGCACAAATTTAATTTATCCTTATATATTATTAAGTCGATTAATTTATTCAACAACAGTGCAACATGGCCAAAATATAATTTCAGTTATAGTGCAACGATTTTAAAATGTAACCAAGTTAAATATTTCAACAGACGTTCAAGTATAACATAAAAAAAACAAACAAAAAAAAACAACAAAAAACAACACAACATTTACATCTCAATAGTATAATAATTACCACGCATTGGTTATCATATGCTATATATTTTCATATTCATGCATGTACATATTCATGTATATATTGTTGCATACGAAGATACGCTATATATGCTGAATTCAAAATAAAATATATATTCTGACCTGTTCTATTCAATATAAGGCAAGCATTGCAATAAATAAATTTTATCAGATATAAAAATAAAACTAGACCATTATTCGTAAAAGCAGACAATGCAGTGCAATGGTGTGTATAAAATTATATCAGTTAGCTTAGTGTAATAACTTTGAAATGTTTTCATTTAAATAATGAAGTAAATGTATGCTATCATAAAATCGTCACACATAAAAAGTTTTTGTAACGCTAGCAGGTATGAACAATGTTATTAATTTTACATATAATTAGGAAACACAGTACTAGATAAAAACACCACATTCTTGTGCGTTTGAGTTAAGAGTTCATGCTGAAATGAAGACACTTTAACGCCATATATGGTTATTTAGGTGTTTCGCAGCCGTGTCTAATATGATTTCGAATAAATAATCGTGGTATCATTTTGAAGAAAATTATATATATATATATAATTATTATGTTTTGAAATTTTTGTATTTTTTCTTTTGAGATGATTGGGATAGTGATGTGCGGACAGAGGTTTGGCTTTCAAAACTTTACTTCAGTGTTGATATATTTTTCTGGTCCTTCGGGATCATTGATTCCAGCACTTGTAAGTGTTGAAAATTGAGTACCGGTCAAGCCGGTTCTTGGGGGCGTGAGGAAAGTTGAACTTTTTCATTATCCTTCATGTACAGACTCAATAAAACCGAGCCTACAGTTTTCATGTGATTTTGTTGTGATGAATGCTTCCGTGGGATTACACTTTTTCCAGATTTTTAATAGCCGCCTTTTATAAAGCAGAGCTAGGTCACACGAACTTAATTTATTTAGGTTTATTTTGATGGCGGGTCTGGTGCCATTTATGTCTAATTTCAAAACCAAAGCTTTATAGTACATTGATCATATATGCTGAACGTTTCGGTTGTCAAAAATAGCGTTTTTCGTGCGTCCGTTTTTCGTGTAACGTGCGTGCGTATATCGTGCAACGTGCATTCTTTTATGTTTTTTTTATTTACGCCGGAAGCGGTGTCGACTTAATAAACGTCTATCTAGAGATTCCTGGGCTAAAGCAAAGTGTTTTTTTTTCAGAAATGCGCATAAAGACGAACCCGTTGAATTATTTTGTTTTAATATTAGCGCATGAAGTTAAGATTTTTTCTCTCTTGGTTTAACTCTTCAATAACATTAATAATATGGAAAACGAGTCACAAACTTGTATATTTTAACATAAACATCACTTAATGAATGTCTATTAAGTGAAAAATTCTTGCAAACGAAAAATTTATAATGATAGAAAATGTTAATTGAATAGCTAGAATGAGCGGACAATCTCTATTTTATTATTATTTGAATTGTACTGAAAAACGGCCAAGGTAGATAGATACCCGTTAGCCCAGATAAAGCATTTATCGGAAGTCATATTGATATTTTTTATGTTTTGAATCAGCATGATTAATTTGCTGGTTTAAAATGCACATATAATGTTCTATAAAATCATTGCAAACAAGATATATAGAATACTGATTTATATAACATTACATAACATTCAACGGAAATAATATTTTATTCTTTTTTTTTTTATAGATAAGTAATTGTATGATAAAAAACGACTTGCAGAAGAAATGAGTGATTAACAGGTAAATAGGTAAATTATTTTCTTTCAACTATTTAACTTCTCTGTAGGAAAGAAAATAAAAGTAAAAGGCTTATTTATAAGGCCGGCAAAATACATATCTAGAAATTTAAGGGATTTTATATTAATGCGGTATGCTTGTCAAATAAACTTATTAAAATAGGTATTCAAATCTGATTCTCTTTCTAAATGTACTGATTTAAGAGAAGCTATACGAAAATTTAGTTTCAGTGATCTTATATTCACCAGCAAACAGAATATGTAAATTAAGTTGTAGAGATGTTAATGACAATAGAAGTAAGTTTAAAGGCTACTGTAATGTTAAAACTGCTATATATTCTGTTTAAGAATTTCACTAACCAGCGTAACTATATTTCTATGATTCTTTTCAAAAATATCCACCCAATTTGGTTAAACATCTTTAAACACAAAAATAAAAATGCAGTTACCGCAATTATGCGATTAACTTTACTTCAACGATGTAATGAAAATATGAAAATGGAAAGGCCTTTTTTGCATTTAACAAAATAAAGAAAAAACAACAAACAAACAAACAAACAAAAACTGTTGTCTTACAAGACATTTAACCTAAATAACCCCGAAGAAACTTTCTTAACTGTAAAGCTAAAATTTTATTAAATTCATCTTTATTTTTTAGATTTATTTGCTATTGAAACTGAAACCAGCAAGAATACATGGCTTCTTCGTCACAAAACTCACCGACAACAACAGAAAATAGACATGGTTTGCAAGAACAGGCAAATAAGTTATATACAAACAGGAAAGTAAGTGCAGATATTTAAATTCTTTGTTATATAATTGGACAAAAATGTTTGTTTTTGGATAGATTACTTCTGTATTGTTATTTTTATTCTGAACATTTCTGAATACTACTTGCCGGTAGTAGGGGACGTGAGGGATGCTGCACTTTACCATTTACCTCATGAACAGACTCCTTAAACCGAGTCTGCAATTGTCAGATAATCTTGTTTATTTCCTTGCATCTGAAGGATCTCCCCTTTTCTAGATTCAGTAGACAGGGTTTCATCTGAGATTTGCAAGAAATAACAAGCAGACCGTCTAAATGATTGAAAGTACAGTAACATACAAGTGGTAATGCAATTAAGTCCTATTAAACATTGACGGCACTTTATTTGAATTTGATTAATAACTTTTCCAGTTTTATGACATAGAAGATAATGCAACCTCGGAAAGGTAGGTTTAAAACCCGGTCTGTTGTTACTCGTTTTCATTTACATGTTATATGCCGTTTGTTCTCCTTTTATTCCGAATAAGATGTAAAATTTCATTAAACGTTTACGATTTTTTTATTCATATACTGTTGTCAGGTGAAAAATATAATTATAATAAAATTAACGATGATTTATCTAAAACCAAAAGTATATTTATCAAAAAATAGATAAAAGCTATGCAAAATTAAGATAGGTAAATTCTTGGAACAGAAAAAAGTCTCACAATTTATATCTATTATGAATATTGACGTGAACATAGATAAATGTACAAACTTATCTCTTGACAGCTTATCAGTAACTGTTGTTTATTTTTTATCCTGACTTCACATGAAATAAAATACCTTTCAGCACTCTTACAAGTAAAAAACTATCATGAATTTTAAGTTAATCAGGTATTATATACAATATATGATCGATTTACAGAAGGGTCGTTATCTAATCTTACAACATTTCATATTATGATCTTGGATAATTTTACACTGTAGTGGATTATTGACAGCTTAGATAAAGATACTTCACTGTAGGTTTGTTTATTGACGTGGTGGGGCTGGAATTTTTTTTAGATCAGTATTCTATTTATTACAAGTCTGGACCAATCAAATGTGTGCAAATGCCTACTCTGTCTGTCAAGAAAAAATCATTTTGTGTAAAATGCACAAAAAATGAAAAGCGTTGAAACGCCTTTTTATTTAGATTGGACAAAGACAAATCATTTTCAATTAAATTACAAGTATATTTTTTTAGTATATTGTTATATATTCTTTCATGTCTAACTAAGTCTTAGTTTCAAATGTTATGACTTTATGTTTTGGGAACTAATTTAAGTGGAGCTCCTCTGATGCATTTCACATTCAACTCTGCTATGTCAATATATATCAATTACCTTGTAGTTTAAATTAATTGTTCTTCTTAAAGTGATACATTTATTTTATTAGGTTTTCCAGGATCTCATTCATGGAAAAATAGAGTTACATCCGGTGTGTGTTCGTATAATTAATACACCGCAATTTCATCGTCTCCGACACATCAAACAAATAGGGACCTGCTATTATGTGTACCCAACTGCCTGTCACAACCGATTTGAGCATTCTATAGGGTAAAATATAAAATTGTTTGTATATTTTAGTTCACCTGAGCACAAAGTGCTCAGAGGTGAGCTTTTGTGATGGCAGTAGTGTTCGTCGTTAACAAGTGCAAATACATTTGGCAAGAAACATTGACTTGTGGTTTGATAGCGATGGCCATGGGGTCAAAATTAGCCGAGTGATCATGTTTTTGTCCGTGTATGTATTTAATAAAAACTTAAAAGAATCCTCTTATCTGAAACAACATAGGCTACAGCTGAACTATTTGTCATGACACATTGTTTATTAGTTAACCGCTACTAAGATTATTCAAATTATGATCATGGTGTCAAAATTGGTCCGACCCTTCCTTTTATAGTACAAACTTTAAAAGATCTTTAACTATGAACCCACAAAGGCTAGAGCTTTTTTTATTTGGCATGCTATTGAATAAATGCCCATCACTTCCATTGGAACCACTGACTGTCTTAAACATTATGCGATTTACATAGCAACTAAATTAATGATTTTCCATTGCAAGCACTGATTTCAATATAAACCGTTGACTTTCTTCAAAAACATGTGACTTACAAAACAATAAATAACTTCCCTACAATATCACTGATTTACATAGTTGTCATAGACTTTCAGTTGCTTTCCATTGCAACCAGTGGCTTTTTATATGTACATTATTTCAATTGCAAATCAATTGGCATAGATTTTGATTTAATACATTGTAATCAGTATGAATTGTTCGTTGTTATGTAGAGTGATTTAAAGGCCATCATGACCTTGTTTCCTTTAGTGACGTAAACATTGATCATATGCTTTAACCAATGATATCTTTACTGTATACAATGTTTGCTTCTCAAAGCGCAAAAGGTAAGTAAATTTTTAAATGTTATCATTTATGAAAGACCGTTGTGTTTCTATATTATAATAATATTGTGAAAATATTGTTATGTTAAATAAAACAAAATTCATTTTAATCTATGATTAAACATGGACTCATAGAAGTAACGTGTAGAGATGTTGTGAGCCATATTATATTTACAACGGCATTACAGAGTAAGACTTCATCATCATTTTAACGTCTCTAGAGCAGCACCTCTCGGCAACATGCACAATGTGTGTCTCTCTTCCATAGAGCGTTGCTCTGCAGGAGTTATAATGTAACTATCTAATTTAATGTTTTTTGTTTATACATTGTGTTTAATTTATGGCAGTGTATGTTACCTGGCTGGGAAACTGGTCCGAAAACTAAAAGAGCGGCAGCCAGACGAAAATATAACAGACATCGACATCTTATGCGTAGAAATCGCCGGACTCTGTCATGATCTAGGTAATCAAT